TGTTGTTTGGCGGGTCCGGGCTGGGGATTCGAACCCGCCACCTTAGGTGTACGTGGCTGGCGCCTTAGCCAGTTGAGCTATAGGCGCCAAGCCTTAAAATGTTGTTAGTTTCTCATTATCAAGGTAAAAATGATTGCTTTTGTGATAAAATCAGTTATGAAATAAAACAATGCTTAGACAATTGTGAAAATAAAAACTTGCTAAATTACTTGATGCCTCCTTTCATTTCTATTGGAAAATTATACAGAAGATCTCATCGGTAGTAAATAAAGATGGCTTCAGTAGAGAAGCTTTAAACTATAACTACAAGCTTTAAACTACAACAACTCCTGTGTTCTGCCATTGTGCCAGATGTATTATGGACATTGTGGGATAGGAAAATAATCCACAAAGGTCTCAAAGTCTGGGGTGGTTGCTGGGAGAAGAGGCCCATTTCTTTGGGGCTTGGTCTTAGGTTTACCAGAGGGTCAGGTTAAACTAGAAGGAAGTTTTAGGGTCTGAAGTTTTAAGGTTTCCACTATAAACCTCAGTAGCAAAAATAAGAACAGAAAAGAAAATCACACATAATTCCACCACGCTGACACATTAATTGCCTTCATTTTCTCTGTTCACATTTAGTCCTTGATTTTATGCCATCATTTGATGTAGCTATAAATACCGGCTAGTTAAAATGCTGCATTCTTCTTTTCACTCAACATTACATTGTGAACACTTTTGTCTTAGGACTATTTTGGTTACAAGGAACATTTACTCACTCAAGTTAAATTATCTCAGAAAAAAAGGTGTATGTATGTGTGTATATGTGTTTGTGTGTGTGCACACCTAATCTTACAGAAATCCAAGGAAGGGAAATTAAGGCAGCTCAACACAGAAATTGGGGCTAGGACTTGGAAGCCCATCAGCTACTGACGCTGCTGGGCTTAGGGTGGGTGGGATCTCTGCTTATTTCTGCATTTCTGCTCTGCACTTATAAATTCAGCTGTGCATTGCCAATAACAGCCACCACAAACCACCTGACTTTAATAGTTTCAGTGTTTTTTTTTCTAGATTACCTAATGTGCAATACTGATTTTTAAAAAACAGAGTCTTTCTCTGTCATCTAGGCCAGAAGGCAGTGGTGGAGTTGTAACTCACTGCAGCCTTGATCTCCTGGGCTGAAGCATTCTTCCTGCCTCAGCCTCCCAGGTAGCTGGGACTAATGGTGCAACTATTACACCCAGCTAATTCAAATACAGATTTGATCCTTCCAGTTTATCTTTTCCGTTCAGTAAGGCAACAAAAGTCACTAGTTGGCTGTCACTAGTTGAGGTATTCACATCTTGGTCTAATCAAGTGTAGCTAGGGAGGCAGAGAACCCTGCTGTAGACTCTACCCTTAAGGGGTAGAGGCCAGCAAGGATGTGACACTGTCTCAGCAGTGAGTGTGGCTTCACAGTCCTCACAATTACAAAGTTGAATGAATGCATGACATTTCCTCAAAGCTATTTCATAATTTATAACACATACTGTTAGTTTTGGTTTAGCTTCTTTTAATTTGGGGGCTGCTACAAGTGAAACTATGAATATTTTTGTGCATACACACAATATTTTCATCTAGATTGGTGATTTTCAGCCAGTGAGCTGTGAGAGGATCTTAGGGTGTGCCTTAAAAATTTTTAAAGATCATTAATCACATTATTTTCAAAAAGTTCAAAGCATAGTAGGTATATTCTTTCCTTTTATCTTTTTTTAAGTCAATGTAATTTAGTTTATTTATTTATTTTTGAGACAGAGTCTCACTCTGTTACCCTTGTTAGAGGGCTATGGCATCATAACTCACAGCAACCTCAAAATCAGGCTCGGTGCCTGTAGCACAGTGGTTATGGGGCCAGCCACATACACCAAGGGGGCAGGTTCAAACCTGGCCTGGGCCAGCTAACCAACAATGACTACTGTAACAAAAAATAGTCGGGAGTTATGGCAGGTGCCTGTAGCCCCAGCTACTTGGGGGGCTGAGGCAAGAGGTTGAGCCTAAGAGGTTGCGCTTGCTGTGAGCTGTGAGGCCACAGCACCCTATCAAAGGCAAAATAGTAAACTCTGTCTCAAAAAAAAAAAAAGCCTCAAACTCAAGCAATCCTCTCACCTCAGCCTCCTGAGTAGCTGGGACTATAGGCACCTGCCACAATACCTGGCTAGGTTTTCTATTTTTAGTAGAGATGGAGTCTCACTTATTTTGCTTAGGCTGATCTTGAACTCCTGAGCTCAGGCATTCACCCCCTTGGCCTCCCAGAGTGCTGAGGTTAGAGGTGTGAGCCACCAGGCCTGGCCTGATCAACACAATATAAGGGTGCCACAGAAGTGTAACTATAAGTTCAAGTGTGCCATGAGATAAAAAGGTTAAAAAACATTGGTAGACACTCATTACCCACATGCTGCCCTCTGGATTTCCAAAGATCTCTCTCAGGTTCGATTATGCCTGATACCTGCTTTATATGTTCCTTTTGCTTCTTTACATTAAAACTCAAGTCCATCCATCTATCTGTCCAGTCAGTAATTCATTTACATAAGAAATAAATTGAGCCTATGTTGAATAGGGCACTAAAAATCATGCAAAGTATAGTCACTTCCATTGTTTCAACTGTTACCAGGCAGCTGTTAAGAGGAACAGAATCACACCTGGATACCAAGAGATGAAAGACAGCCAGCCAGGCCTGGTGCAGTAGCTCACACCTATAATCCTAGCACTCTGGGAGGCTGAGGTGGGTGGACTGCTTGAGTCCATGAGTTGAGACCAGTCTGAGCAAGAGTGAGACCCCATTTTTAAAAATAGTCAGGCATTATGGCAGGTGCCTGTAGTCCCACCTACTCAGGAGGCTGAGGCAAGAGGATCGATTGAGCCCAAGAGTTTGAGGTTGCTGTGAGCTAGGATACCATAGCACTCTATCCTGGAGCAACAAAGTGAGACTTTGTTTCAAAAAACAAAAAAGAAAGAAAAGAAAACAGACAGCTTAACACCCTCAGGAATAACCGTATTTTAGCAAAGGAGCCACAAGTCATTTGGTGGGGTGGGCTGCGTGATGGGACACAGAGCGCCACACAGCAGGCCGTGCCAGGGAGTGTCTCTTCTCCTTCAGAGAGAAGGAGGACTGCTTTTTGCCTAGCAGTTTTCAGCCTTTTAGAATTTCCAATTAGAAGCTGCATCCTGAGGGCATATTTATTGTGTTAAATGAAATTGTATATATTAAGATACTTAGAATTTACTAAGTATGTAAATTCTACGTACTTAGTATGTAGTAAGGTATGGTGGTTCATGCTTGTAATCCTAGCACTCTGCGAGGCTGAAGGGGATTGATTGCCTGAGCTCAGAAGTTCTAGCCTAGCCTGAGCAAGAGTGAGACCCCCCATCTCTAAAAATAGCTGGGTGTTGTGGTAGGCAATTATAGTCCCAGCTACTTGGGAGGCTGAAGCAAGAGGATCACTTGAGCCCAGGAGTTGGAGGTTGCTGTGAGCTGTGATGCCATAGCGCTCTACCAAGAGTGACAAAGTGAGACTATGTCTCAAAAAAAAGAAAAGATACTTGTAATTTTTGTGACTTTTCATAGAAAGCATGAAAGAGTCCCAGATGCTCAAGGAAGTTAAAATTTTATATTCATGCTTTAAAAAGCAAAAATCTAATCAAATAGCTTAGTTTTCTATTCATTTCCCGAAGCATTAGTAAATTATAAATGTTATGTGAACTAAGTGAAATGGAAAGGTGTGATATTGAGGTCTCTCTCAATACAAAAAACAAAAGAAACAAACCCAAAACCCCAACTAGACCCAAGGTTCTTGGCTCCCCGTTGAGAGGGGAAAGTTAGAACACCCAGAGGTGTAACAGCCTGGGCCTTTGCTTGCCTGTGTTTGGCAGGGGCTGGGACTTGAGTTTCCACAGCGCATCCCCACGCCTCTACTACTGCTTGTCCCACCTTGGATCGTAGTTGCATCTTTACTTGTTTGTCTCTCTCAGGAGACTGTGAACTCCTGTGGAAATAGGGATTCTGTATTTTTCAATGTCTGAAATGCACCTGGACTTCACTAAATATCCATTGAATAAAGGACACACACACACCCATATCTTCTCCCTCATGGATTCTCTTCTTCCTTGCACAGACCCCAGGATGGTCTTTAGTCTGACTCTGAAGACTTCTTGATAATAAAGCAAAAGCTTCAAGGAAACTGCCCAACAGATACTTGAAAATCACAAATAATTCCCCGTAAAGGAGATACGGATATTGGAATGGGGGCACCTGGATTCAGGTCACTGAAAATATGCCTTTGCTATCAGTTTTCTCCTTCTAGAAACAGGATTGTTACCTTTAAACTAGAACAGTTTAATGCTTAGTTTTTTTTTTTTTTAACATAACAGCTTAATGATCAAAGAAACAATAAAAAATCTCCCAACCAAAAAAACAAAACAAAACAAAACAAAACAAAATGCCCTGGTCCAGATGGCTTCACACCAGAATTCTATCAAACTTTCAAAGAAGAGCTTATTCCTATACTGCAGCTTAAGGATTTTTAAGCGTAAGGTTATAATGAAAAAAACAAACCCACAATAATTAATCCAATTTGGAATCTACTGTGAGCCCAGCAGGTCAGCAACACATTTATTATTGGGCTAGCAAGGTAACAGGGTAGGGCTAAGTATTGGGCCAACTTTCCTCCAGCTCCCCTCCACGGGCTTCTGTGGTCACATTTCCCTCTGGTATTTGGGATGGTTTGTTGCAGTCGGTCGGTTTGGGTTTGTCTTTATGAGGGGCAGGTGGGGTGAGGGAAAGCAAAGCAGAAGTAACATGGAGTGGATGCAGCCTGCTTACAGGAAATCAGGGCAGTTCACCTGATCTGTGACAGTCATTTTCTCATGGTCTATGTTATTGGAAGTCAACATATCCTTTAGATAGGTCACCGTTTCTGGAGGGAGATAAGGGTGTCTTCCCAAGATCCAGGCATGCTCCATGTGAAAAAGCCAGATAATTGTGGTGCAGGAGTACACAAGGGCATAGTTCTCGTAGTCAGTGGCCAGGACCCAGTATGGTGATGATGGCGTCCCTGACAGGCAGAGGAAGGCAGCATTAGGAGGGACCAGGGCAAGAGAAAACTCACTTGTAGATCAGTGGTTATCAACTTTAGCTTCACGTGGGAAACATACAGAGACTTTGAAAAATATTCGGCCCCCTTCTTCTCACTCTCCTCTAGATTGGAATTTGGAGGTGGTTAGTACTTTTCTAAGCTCCCTAGTGATTCTAATACATGGCCAGAGTTAAGAACCATCATTATAGTCCTCCTCCCTGGTAGGAGGTAGTCTCCTGGGATAACTGGGGGGTTTGGCTGCCCCCCCTGGACTGACAGGCTGCACTTAACGCCAAAGCACACAGAGGTACCCCTGAGCTAAGTGGAGTCAGGAACAGAGGGCCAGCAGCCCTCAGCTTTCTGGGACTGTTCCACCCAACTTCTTTTAGACGTTGCCTAAGGGAGGAGGCAGAGACCAACTTATTTTTGTTTTTGTATTTTTCTTCCTGTATGATCTTCAAAAAATCTTCTACTTTTAAAAATATGGTAAGCCAGTTGGTAACAGGTTATAAGCTTTTCCTCACAAAGTGCCTATAAAGCTTCATTGATTGACATCCATAAAGTGTAGAAAGCTAAAAATTAAAGGGGTCCTTAAGAGAAGAGATAGAGGATGTACTCTCTTCCCGTGGATTTAGAAATTTCTTCTGTGAATTTGACCTCCACACCCAAGGTCCAAGCCAAGGAAAACTCATGGCCCAGCTTATTAAAGTTAAGAGGAAGATGGACCCAAGTGGGAGAAAGCTGGGTACTGACCCCACAAGCAAGCACACAACACTTGGGCACAGATTCAGTCAGGGGTGATTTGCTTTCCTGGGTTTCAAGCATCCCATCTCTTCCACTCAAAACTAATCCTGGGAGGGGCAGCACCTGTGGCTCAAGGAATAGGGTGCCAGCCCCATATACCGGAGGTGGTAGGTTCAAACATGGCCCTGGCCAAAAACTGCAAAAAAAAACAAAAACAAAACAAAACAAGAAAACTAATCCCTAGAGGGCCAGGCATAGTGGCTCACACCTGTAATCCCGGTCCTTGGGGAGGCCTATGTGGGGGAATTCCTTGAGCCCTGGAATTTGAGGCTGCAGTGAGGTGTAATTTTCCCACTATACTCCTGCCTGAGCAACAGAGCAAGATCCTATCTCTAAAAAAATTAAAAATAAATTAAAAATCATCCTGTGTGCCAAGTCAAACATCAGAAAATCAGAACTCAGCACTCATGAGTGCCCTGAGACACTATGGGACAATGGAGAAGCCTAAAAGGTCTGGTCCAGATGACCACCCAGCAAGTCCACTGTTGGTGCCCTGCCTGCCTGCCTGCCTCATTCATCCCGAGGGCGTGAGTGTTACTGTCCTCATCCATCTGCTCTCTGTACATTTCAGCTGCTCTGCATATACCTAGATGGATTGACAACTCTTCACCACTGAGTGATTTGGGGAAAATAAGTTTCCTGCCTCTTCTGGCGGCAGCAGCAAGTCCCACCTGCACACATGCAGGCATCCACGTTCTGTCTTCCTCTCACGGGGTCTAGCTCTTGAGAATTAATTTACCCAGATATTTCCTCTTAGTACAGAAAACTTCCATCTTTCTCTCCTTATTAGAAAACTTTGACAATCTCCTATTGCTTATAGAAGAAACTCCAAAGCAAACACGGAATCCCTCCAACCAGAACAAATCTCTCCCTCTTCACCTTCCCCAGGCCGCAGCTCCTGCTTCTCTTAGCTCTTGCCTCAGGTTTCCTTAGGAAGATCGTGCTCACAATATTTAACCTTCACTCCCATCCCTATCCCTGATCTGTGTCATGGGAAAAATACTCAGTTGAGAGTCTGGAGACCTAAGATTAGGTCCCCAACTTTCTCTCTAATTAGTTCAATGACTGCCTACATCACCCAGGCCTGATGCACTTCGATTTCCTTCTTTGTAAAAATAACAAGAGAAATTAACGTGTACAAAGCCCTTTGCAGTTATAGAGCGTGTGTTATTTAGTTTATCTTTCTCATGCTGGCTGTTATCCCCGGTTTGTGCCTATAGTTATATGCATGGGAAGAGCTGTTTTCTCCTCCCAGCATTCCTTTCTTAGTCTGCAAAGTAAAAACTTCTCTTTGTCCCACTCTAGGGACTGGTATGGGGTGGAGGAATGACCGAGGTAGGGCAGTAACGATGTGTTTTGCAACTACTGACTTCGGTGTCTGCCCTCCAGGTGGGGAGAGGGGCTCTCAAGCACTTTCAGTGCTAGGGAACCTCATGGTTCTGAGCTGAATTCTCCAGTGTACCTACAGCAGCAATAAAACTAAGATTTGCTGATTTCTCTGTTGACTGTGCCCATCTTCAGTTAGTCGAGAACTTAGAGGGCAAGTGTCTGTGATTAAATATCTCAAGATGCACAACAACGTGGCTAGAAAGTGGCTAAGTCTGGACTTGAACTCAGAAGCCCGGATGCTTGTGGTCTCACATCTGCAGGCTTTTGCACATCCTGCTAGTTGCTATGCTAACACCCGCTAATTTGGGGGGCCTCAGTTTTCTCTGGGAAACAAAACTGGATTGGGTTTTCTATGGGCTCATGGCCTATGTGCTCCTATTGTGCTCTACCTACTGAAACCCTAACTGTAGTTTCATAGAAAATTGCCTGTTTGCTTGTCAGTATCCACAGGAACGTTAAGCTCTCCAAGAACAAAGGCCAGCTCTGTCTTGCCCACCGTTGCAGCCCAGTGAGTGACATGTAGTATGTGCTTAAAGTAATTATGTATTCAGCCATTACAGAGACATTCATCTGTGACAACAGTACCCCAGTCCAGGGCTCTTGCCTTCAGTTTTTATATCCCCTGTCCCTGAATCCTTATGAGATAAGTGGACACTTACACCAGAAAAACTTCACCCCCAGCTTGGCGGGCTCTGTGAGGTTAACCTGGGTGGCTTCACCTTCAATTTGGTTCACGGTTCCATCCTGCCTGCAGTGAGTAACACAAAAAAAGGAAAAAAACAACACAGAGAAGAGAGAATAAAAACAATGATTCAAAGCCAAAAATCAATGGAAATCAAGATTTGTGGCACTAAGAACCAGTGGCCAACACTGATTTCTGGTGAGAGGCTCTCAAAGGCAGGCCAGACCCTAGGTCCACTCCCTGCCCTTCCTATCATGACTGTCTCGGAGACCAAGCTAAGGAAGTCAGCTGTAAGGGGATGAGAAGCAGCCACTGAAATGTCCCAGGGTTGGATAAGATTCTAGGCCCTGTACATCAACACTGTTTCTTGGATATCTGTAGTTCCCTGAACGGCTATTTCTTGCTCCTAAGTTCCAAAGAGAGAGGGAGTAAATGAGAAGGGAAAAACAAACAAGACAACCCAGTACACCAAGAAGATTCACTTCTTTAAAAATGAGAAGGGACCAAAGGAACAAAGAAGGATGGACTTGATCATTGAAAAGAGTGCAAAGCAGGGAGTCTGGAGACCTGAAAGTTCTCCCTTCTTTGGGCCTCAGTGATGTTGTGTGACTTCATCTGTCTCTTTAAGGGGCTTGAGCTCTGAGACACCTTCCAGTCAGCAAGAGTCTGAGTCTGATTTTGACATAGGCCAGGTAAAAGCATGCAGTGAGGGAAATTTACCTATCTCAGTGATTCTCAGGTATGCCTACATCTCAGAGACATTAAATGTGAAGGAATACACCTCTTACAATTGATGCCAATTCAATTATAATTAGCAGTGCCAATTCTTTCTTAGCAGCATACAGGTATGTCCTAAAAGTGGTGGTCTTAGATTGGATACTAAGAACGTAATATTTTCACCCCCTTGAACGGGCCTGGCCCCATTTCTGGATAACTCCCAATAACCCATGAACAGGGGAGGAAGGGAAAGGCCTGGGGAAGGAGGCACCAAAGGGATGGTCCTCAGGCATCAGGGTGCTCCCCTTAGGAAACCAACAAAGGAGCTGTTTGTCCTTCAGTCCTCAAGGGGGCAGGCAAACTAAAAGTAAAGCAACAGTATGTGTTAGAAAGTCAGCAGGTCAATGCTATGGTTGTTGGTGATGGATTTCCTAGAAACCAGACAATAAGCAAAAGGTATGGGAGGTTGGAAAATGTCCTCTGATGATCCCAGTTACATCCTCTATTTATTACTGTGGAGGGCTAGAGGCCCTGCACTCTTACCTGGATCCCAGACCGCTGGGAAGACGGCCTGTTTCTATCTGCATACATTAACTCGACAACAAACCAATCTCTTCTCAACAGAGTCTTCATTCTCACCAGCATTAGCATTTTTCCCCAGGACAGTTTGCAAAACGTCAGTCTCTGACCATGAATTTACAGCATGTTTATGGAAAAATACATTTGTATTTTCAAGGGTAGCAGCAGGTTAACAATGGTAGATAATATTTATTAAATCAACACTGCACGCCAAATCTCATTTAAGGCTCAGACAGCCTTAATGTGGAGGTAGGTTCTATTATTATCACCAGTTTTACAGGTGAAGAAACTGAGGCTTGAAGAGTTATAATAACTAACCTAAGATCACTTGGTAAGTGGTAGAACCAGGATATGAAACAAGGCAGCATAACTCCAAAGCCTGAGCCCTTCAGCTCACAGCCCTCTGTTAGCTGTTTTGCTCTCAAATTCTCTGATGTTGGCTGAGCCTAATCTCCTGTCCGACTCCCTGCTGTCCTGTTCTCCACTCATTCTACAGTCTTCTGGAAGGAGGAACTATACCATTTTCCTGAATTAACAAATGATTTTCTGTGTGTTATTGTGTCTTAAACAGGTGTACTCCTAGAGGTAGAGCCACCTAATAATACCCCAAATGCAGTTAACACATTGCCGACTGGTCACGAGTTCCCCGGTAACATGGATAGTTTCTGTGTAAAGTTGCCGGTCAACAAAGTGTTAACATAGCAGCTGTTCCCTGATTTATTTCGCTCCCTCTCAATACCCAGTTGTCCCAAATTCAGCTGATTTTATTCTTTCTCCCCGCCTCATCTCTCAGCTGTTTATAATATAGAATCACTTAGCTTAGAATCACAGCTTATAGAATCACAGCTTAACACATTGTTGACTGGCAATTTTATGCAGAAGCTATCGAGGTTACCCGTCAGCAATGTGTTAAAGGGGGCTCGTGGCCAACTTCAAAGGAGGGGCAGGAGAATCTCCTGGGTTTTAGGATCTGTGCCATTGATTCTCGGTCATAGAATGGGACAAAATATTTGAAATGAGGTTATTACAACTTTGGGGCCTCCAAAATTCCTGTGAGATCTAAGTGTCTGCACCTCAATTCCCGGAGCTTTTCTCTGGGGTTCTGAAATGAGCTGGATCTTTCCTTAGAGACCTTAAAGATTCTTGTTTTGTTTTTCTGGCTTATCCAGGGAGTCTACCCAGTGGGTTTTGACCCACGAAAACAGTAATCGATGTTGGGCTAACCATAGAAAGCCCCTCTGTAGTTGTTTTCTTGGAGTTGAATAGTTCCCACATCCTGTAGGGAACAGAAGGACAGCCCTTTACCTTTCTGTAATGATGTTAATAATAGTACCGATCTCACGGTTCTTATGGGGAGTTAAATGAATGCATATTGATTTATGCATACACATGTATAGGCATACATATATCGAATAGCGCCTTGCAAATAGAAAATGTGTAATAAACATTAGTTACTGTTGTTTGTTGCTGCTGTTACCTTTGTCCATGGAGGGGGAATAGGAAGGAGCTCTTCCTGGGGCTTTCTTTATGTTTGCTTTCCCAAGGGTAAATTTTTAAATATCAACATTAGAAGCCCTCAGTAATACTTCTGTACCATATCCTGTTAACATAACCTACAGCATGAATGAATGCTTTTGATTCTTGCTTAAAAATAAAAGGAATTTTCTAATAGGTGAAGCTGCCTAGATATAGAATAGACCATTGTGGAAGGCGATGTAGCCCCTGTTCCTGACAGTGTTCAAGCAAAGCTGGATGCCTGTGTCAGAAGACAAGAGCTCTGTCAGTTTGGGTTACTGTTGAGGCCCTACTGCCTTCCACAGGGTCTGGTATACAATAGGTGCTCAGCAAGCAGTTATGGAAATGCATGTGTGTGTGTTCTCTCCTTGCCAGCCCTGCCTGCCACAAGCATTCTCTCAGTCCTGCTGTGAGCAGGCAGTCCAGGCAGGCAGCAGTGTTCCCCTCCTCCCCAGCCAGGCTGCCGGACATGCAGGCGCCCCAGGTCAGCACTCAGCAGGCCTGGCCCCGGATGGGCATGGCCACTCACCTCAACTCCTTATTTATCACTTTGATGTTTCCATTTTCCATTAGCGAGTAGTTGGCCTGGATGCAGCTTCCTTTCTCAAAGCTCACTGGGATCTTCTCAATTTCATACCATTTTCCCAGATACTGTAGAGACAAAAACAAGCAGAGCAGAACCCTGTGGTTCTCTAGGGACCTGTGAAATCTTCCCCATTGTCTTTCAGAAGCAGAGCCCTTTCCTGGGGAAACCAGGCAGAATGGGCCTCATTGTCCCCAGTGGCAACTGAGCAAGATACTGATTCCGGTGAGAATAAGTGCACTGGACGTGTGGGCACCGGGCGGCGAGGGCTACATTCTACTCCTAATGTACTCTTTATTTAGACAACACGCTCTCAGTGTTCTATCTAGCCAGAAACTGCGAAATTCTAGACCTTTAAAAGGAGGAGGTGATGTAAAGAACCTTTCATCTCAAACATTTTACCATTCGACAAGGCATCTTTGAGTCTTGTGCAAAGTCAGATATGTTCACTGTGGAGTGCTAGGACTCCAGAGAGGGTTGGACTTTCCTCATATGACCCCACACAGGAAGCTGGTCACAAAGGCTTTGGGAGGTGATGGGGATTTAGAAGAATTGTTCCATTCTCTCTCCAGGGGCTGGCCCGTGCTCCATACTTCTGGTGTATAGCGTCAACTTGTAAGGAAGCTGCTTCTGTGCTGGTGAGGGTGAGGGGGACATAGGCACTCTCAGACTTCCAAACATACCTCACATGAGGCAGAGTGTGGTGGCTCACACCTGTAATCCTAGCACTCTGAGAGGCTGAGGCAGGTGGATTGCCCTGAGCTCAGAAGTGAGACCAGCCTGAGCCAGAGTGAGACCCCATCTCTACAAAAAAAAAGACTGGGCTTGTGGCTGGTGCCTATAGTCCCAGCTACTTGGGAGGCTAAGGCAAGAGAATCACTTAAGCCGAGAGTTGGAGGTTACTGTAAGCTATGATGTCATAGCACTCTACCGAGGGCCACAAAGTGAGACTCTGTCTCAATAAATTATAAATACACCTTACATGAGCACTAGACTAGTTTACAACCTCTGTGGAGGGCAGCTGGGCACCATCTAGCAAAGCTAAAATTACATATGCTCTTTGGCTCTGAAATTTCACTTCTGATAATGCAGCCTCCTGACAGAAGAAATGGTGTATGTATAAGGGTATTCGTGGCAATATTTTTTTATATACTAATAATAAAAGGAGAAAACCTAAGTCAGTGTTATTAGTAAGGGGCTGGGTAAATAAATGATGGCATATCCATGCAAGGGAATTTTGTGCATCCTCTTTGAAAAGAGTGTTATGCAATTATCTGTAAGATATAGTTAATGAAAAAAGAGCCAGGTACACAACAGAATATATATTAAGCTCCCTTTTGTGTTTCCCTGGGAAAATGGTTACTATGTTGGCTTTCTGTTGCTGTTATAACAATTCACCACAAGCTTAAAAGAGCACAGATTTACTACCTTGCAGTTCTCTAAGTCTAAAGTCCAATGTGGGTCTCACTAAGCTAAAATCAAGTATTGGTTACATTCCTTTCTGGAAGCCCTGGGGGAGAATCTATTTTCTTGACTTTTCCAAGTTTTAGAGGCCACCTGTATTCTTTGGCTTGGGATCTCCTTCCTTCATTTTCAAAGCTAGCAAAAGATAGCCGAATCCTTCTCACATTGCATATCTCTGTCACTTATCCCATCATGAAACCTCTCTCTCCGGCTCGGCGCCTGTGGCTCAAGTGGCTAAGGTGCCAGCCACATACACCAAAGGTTGCGGGCCCAGCCTGGGCTGCCAAACAACAATGATGGCCGCAACTAAAAAAAAAAAAAAAACAGGCGATGGGCGTTGTGGCGGGCGCCTGTGGTCCCAGCTCCTTGGGAGGCTGAGGCAGGGGACTCGCTTGAGCCCAGGAGTTGGAGGTTGCTGTGAGTTGTGATGCCACAGCACTCTACCCAGTGGGACAGCTTGAGGCTCTGTCTCAAAAAAGAAGAAACCTCTCTCTCTGACCGAGGTGGGGAAAGAATTTCTGCTTTTAAGGACTTGCATGATTAGATTGAGGCCACCTGAATAATCCAGAGACTCCAGGCTAATCTGGTTATCTCAAGGGTCCATAGTTTAACTACACCTGCAAAATTCCTTTTTCATGTAAAGTAATGTTCACGGGTCTCACAGATTAGGGCATGGTAACTTTAGAAGCCATTATTCTGCTTACCTCAGTTATATATGTATTTGCTTATATATGTATACAGTATCGCCAAAAAAGATACACGATAACTCTTTTTACTTGTTACTGCTGGGGATGGAAACTGAGACACAGAGTTAAGAGCAAAACTTTTCATTGTATATTCTATTGTACCTCTAGAATGTTGAACCATGTGACTATATTTACCTAGTCAAATTATTAATTGAAATTATCTTAGAAATTTAAAAATGTATTTCTCAACAACATAGAGATACGCTCACTTTCAAAGAGCTGGAACTTGGAAGGAGAGCATACTGCAAACAGGTGGCAGTATTGCTTCAGTCATATGGCTCCCTGCCCAAATGTACACCCACATTTATGACCAGAAATTTTCCACTCATTTATTAAAGCACAACTTTCAGTTAAAACCAGTGAGCTTTATAGTCATTTAAAGCACCAAAAATAAGATTAGGCCTGGCATGATGGCTCACTTCTGTAATCCTAGCACTCTGGGAGGCTGAGACAGGTGGATTGCTTGAGCCCAGGAGCTAGAGACCAGCCTGAGGAAGAGGGAGACCCTCTCTCTATAAATAGCCAGGCCTTGTGGTGGGTGCCTGAAGTCCTAGCTATGCAGGAGGTTGAGTTAAGAGAAATCACTTGAGCCCAAGAGTTTGGGGTTGCTGTGAGCTGCGATGATGCCTCAGCACTCTACCCAGGGCGACAGATTGAGACTATGTCTCAAAAAAAAAAAAAAAATTAAAAAAAAGAGTAAGGTTAAAGGCTAACTGGTTTCATAGACATTCTCAGAGAAAGCTCCATTTAATATAGTACATTTAAAATAGTTCTATTATTGTTTAAATGACTTCAGTGCTCCACAATTAAAACTCAGGAAGCTTAATTTTCCAAAAAAGAGGAAAATCACAGGTAGAAGATTGATTTTCATGTCATGCTCCCTCATGATCTCATTATTTTTATGAAGGCCTCTTAATCTTCTCAGGTCTCAATTTCTCTACATTAACAGAATTCAATGTTTAAAAAGAGTCCTAAAAAGGAAGAGATACTATTATTAATATATCTCTTTGCAAATGACATAAAATATTCTAAGGACTCTAAAATGAAAACAAAAACTATTAGGTCTCATGAGTTTAGCAAGGTTAAAACATACAAGATTAATATATAAAAATCAAATGTATTTCTATGCTTAGAAGGAACAATTTGCAAATGAAATTAAGAAAATTTCATTAACAATAGCATCAAAAGAAGAACATATGTAGGAATAAATTTAACTGAAGAAATGCAAAACTGAAACTGTGAAAACTAGAAAATATTGTTGGAAAAAATTAGAGCAGACCTAAGTAAATAGAAAAATATCCTATGTTAACAAATTGGAAACAATGTTGCTAAGATGGCAGTCTGCTTAATTGAGCTTCAGATTCAATTCAGTCTCTATCAAAATTCTAACTGGTTTCACTGCAGAAATTGACAAGTTCATTCTATAGTTCATGCAAGAACATAATGGATATAGGATAGCCAGAAGAATAAAGTTGGGGTACTAATACATTCTGATTTCAAAACTTGCCTCAAAGCTATAGTAGTCAAGACTGTAATACTGGCATCAGGGGAATGGGTGGAGGGAGGGGGATTGGAGGGATCACTTCTGAGGTTTATCTTACAAGGGTATAAGTGAATCTTTCTAAGAGTAGAATGTGAACGTTTTAAAACAATAACTAAGAAAATGACATGAAGGCTATGTTAACCAGTTTAATGGAAGTGTTTCAGATTGTGTGTGAAAACCCCACACTGTACCCCAGAAGTGCATTAATGTACATAGTTACCATTCAATTAAAAAAAATACTGGCATCAGTATAGATGTATAGATCAATAGAATAGAATTGAGAGTCCAGAAATAGACTCTCACATATACAGTCAATTGATTTTCCATAAGAATGCCAAGACTATTCAATGGGGAAAGGACTATCTTTTCAACAAATGGTGCTGGAACAACTGGATATCCACATGCAAAAGAATGATGCTTATATACACAATTTAATTTAAAAGAGATCAAACACTTAAGTGTAAGAACTGAAAATATGAAACTCTTCAAAGAAAATATAGGAGTAAATTGGGTGGCACCTCTGGCTCAGTGAGTAGGGCATCGGCCCTATATACTGAAGTTGGTGGGTTTGAACCCAGCCCTGGCCAAACTGCAACAAAAAAATTGCCAGGTGTTCTGGTGGGCACCTGTAGTCCCAGCTATTTGGGAGGCTGAGGCAGGAGAATAGCTTAAGCCTAGAAGTTGGAGGTTGCTGTGAGCTGTGACGCCATAGCACTCTACCTAGGGTGATAAAGTGAGACTCTATCTCTAAAAAAAAAAAATATATATATATATATATATATGTATGTGAGTAAATCTTTATAATATTGTATTAGGCAATGTATTTTGTTTAAGTATGCCACCAAAAACACAAGCAACAACAGGAAAAAGTTGACAAATTGAACTTCATCAATATTAAAAATTTGTGCTTCAAAGGGCACATCAATAAAGTGAAAAAAAATTCCACAAAATGGGAGAAAATAACTGCAAATCATATATCTGTAAGGGACTTGTGTCAAAATATAGAAAGAACTCTTACATTCCAATAATTTAAAAACCTCAGTTTAAAAGTAGGCAAGAGATTTGAATAGAAGATATACAATGAAGATATACAAATGACCAATAACCACGTGAAAATATGATAAATATCATAGTCATTAGGGAAATGCAAACTAAAATTAGAGGGCCAGGTACAGACTCATGTCTGTAATCCCAGCACTTTGGAAGGCCAAGGGAGGAGGATTCCTTTGAGACCACTCTGGGCAACATAGAGAGACTCTGATTCTATAGAAAATTAAAAAGTTATCTGAGAGTGGTGGCGGATGCCTACAGACCCAGCTGCTCAAGAGGCTGAGACAAGAGGATTGCTTGAGCCCTAAGTTTAAAGCTGCAGTGAGGAATAGACCCCTCTTGCTCTATTGCTCAGGCTAGAGTACAATGGCATACTACACTCTAGCCTGGGCAATAGAGCAAAACCCTGTTATAAAAACAAAATTAAAAAAAAAAAATTCCAAGTAGTCCCATGAGCATTTAAAAAAAAAAAAAAAGAACCCATAATGAGAAACCACTTGGCACACACTAAAAATGACTATAATAAAAAAGACAACAACAACAAGTTTGGGTAAACATATGGAGAAATTGGAATTGGACAGTGCTGGTGGGCATGTAAGAGGTACAGCTCTTTTGGAAGCTTCTAGCTCCCCACCTGAGACCCTGTTCTCCCCTCTCCATGGGTGCTCCCAATGGCCTGCTGTTATCCAGCTATGGGACAATCTGGGGCACATTCATGCCTTTCCTCAGAGGACCACACCAGGATTGAACCCCATTGTTGGTGGGGTAAACTCCTCATGAGCACCCCTTTATTGCTTCTCTAACTCCTTGGTCTCATTTTCCCATGTACCCATTTGTGCTTTCTGGAATCATCTTCCAAAAAATCTCTGCCCCTGCCCTTGTCTCGGAGTATATTAATACTTTGGGGAAACCCCATGTAAGATAAGTAGTTGTCCCAAGGCTTGCTGTGAAGATGTAAAAAAATATTAAAACTGAACTTGGGTGGCACCTGTGGCTCAAAGAGTAGGGCGCCGGCCCCATATACCGGGGGCGGTGGGTTCAAGCCCGGCCTCCGCCAAAACTGTAAAACTGAACCTTGTAGAGTACTTATCCAAACCATGTCCAGCAAAACTAACGGGAGCTTAGCCTTCATCACACCTTATTCACATCAAAATTCTCCTGCACAGATGGAGTCGGGCATTGTCCGAGATGAAAAGTTTGTCCCTCTGCTACGGCGACCAGGCCAGCCAGCACGGAAAGCAGCAACAGCATCATCGCCATCTAGAGGTGGCTGTAGAGGGGACCTGGAGGTGGGAGAAACAAAGCCGCTGTGGTCATAGTTGAGCCTCTTAAAGACACAAAATCAAAGGGTAGATTCCTGCACTGGCGGGGTCCTCTGCGGGCAGCTCCCCAGGCTGGATGGACCCCTCATCCTTCAGTGGACATCTGATCGCCAGTGCTGCCGTGAGCCCTTCCTCGGAGCCACTATGTCTCTGGTGGGCACCCTCCGCCTGATATTAGAGTTGCTTCAATTGATTTTGCACCCCAGCCTGCTCCTGCTTTTGCATTTCCCAAGGGTGGGCCCCGTCTCCTCGGATCACCCCCAGGACCTCCAAGTGTCAGACTCAGTAGATACTTGTCAAATGAACAGAAACAATGTGGCCGGTGCCAGACACAGCGAGAGAATGAAGCCTTTAGCAAACTGCGAAAGGTAAAAGCAAAACCAAACCAAACCAAAACCATGCACATCATTTAGTGTCCCCTGAGATTCACAAGGGAAGTGCTCCCTCTTGCTGGGCTGTCCCACCAACCCAAGAGTGGGCCTGAAAAACCTAACTTGCCGGCCACTGTAAGGTTACCCCAGCTGAGTTCGAATTCTGGCTCTGCCACATATAAGGTAGGAGAATTAAATTTGCCAGCTCATCCTAGAAAAATTGCTACATACCTCATTGCTGAATATTGCTACAGTCACCTTTGAAGTACTGCCCTTGGGAAGCTATGCACTGATGCCAGTGCCTAGTCCACCCTTTGAAGCAATTTCGGAGCTCTTTTTCTGGAAAGATCATCAGAGCTGTTGTCCTATGATGGTCAGACAATTAAGGTCGCAAACTCATTCTAGTAAAAGTGCTACATTCCTAGTGATATTCAGCAATGAAGTATGTAGCACCTTTCTAGGATGAGTTTTTGAACTTAATTGTATGACCTCGTACTAAGTACATAAACTAATTTATGCCTTAGTTTCTTTGTCATTAAGTGGGAATAATAATCATACACATATCATAAATTTTTAAGAGAATTAAATGAGATAACACAGAGAGTACTTAAAGCAGTGTCTGACACAGAGTAAATGCTCAATAAATGCTAGTTATTGTTATAAAAAGCAGAAACAGGTGGCTCAGTGCCCATGGCACAGTGGTTACAGCACCAGCCACATGCACCTAGGCTGGCAGGTTTGAACCAGGCCCTGGCCAGCTAAACAACAATGACAACTGCAACAAAAAATAGCCGGCATTGTGGAGGGTGCCTGTAGTCCCAGTTAATTGGGAGGCTGAGGCAGGAGAATCAGTTGGGCCCAAGAGTTTGAGGTTGCTGTGAGCTGTGATGCCACAGCACTCTACTGAGGGTGACATAGTAAGACTCTGTCAAAAAAAAAAAAAGAGCAGAAACAGGTGATTATATTAATATTTCCCAAATTTCTGTTTACTGATGATGTGCATTTAACTAGAGAAGGACTGTCAGCTCATGTGTAACTATACAGTAAGCATTTCTTTTTTTTTTGAGACAGAGTCTCAAGCTATCACCCTTGGTAGACAGGGTAGAGTGCTGTGCCGTCACAGCTCACAGCAACCTCGAACTCTTGGGCTTAAGTGATTCTCTTGCCTCACCCTTCCAGGTAGCTGGGACTATAGGCTATTTTTTTTTTTTCAGTTGTCATTGTTGTTTTAGCTGTTTTAGTTTGAACTCACCAGCCTTGGTGCATGTGGCCGGGGCTGTACCTACTGAGCTATAGGCACCACCTCTACAGTAAGCATTTCAATCCCGAGGACCCTTTGGCAGCAGAGGCTGGCCTGGGAGGGCAGTCAGTGAAGGCGGCGGTGGGAGGCTGTGCTGGTGTAGGTTCTGGGTGCTCTGATCTCCTCCCTGCTTCTGTCACTGACTTGATTTTAGTGCATTCCTTTCCTTGTGACTCTTGCCTGCTGCTTCACATGAGCTATTTCCAGCTCCTTGCCTTTCTCCCTGTGATAAAGATGACTGATGTGATGCAAGCAAAATGTTCTCAGATCTGAGAATTTAAAAGGATGTGTCATTATAAGAATAATTATAACCGCTTTATTATGAGTCTCTAAGCCTCTAAGTAACTTTTAATAATCAATAGCTTTTCTTCTGGAGGTTTCATTGTCTGGTTTTCAAAAGAACAGTTATGTAACGAATGAAAGCTACCAGCTGGGGTTGCTGAGGGAGGGTATGGTTCTGAGCCCCTGGTGGCCTGTGGTGGGACCACCTTCCTTAGTTTTTGAGGCTCCATTTTCCATCAACATTTCCACCATGTAAACAATTGTTTTTATTGGGGGTTTTTTGTTTGTTTTTTTTTGAGACAGAATCTCACTCTGTGCCCTGGGTAGATTGCCGTGGTATCATAGCTCACAGCACCCTCAAACTCCTATATTCAAACGATCCTCCTGCCTCAGCCTCCTGAGCAGCTGGGACTGCAGGAACCTGCCACAATACCTGGCTAGATTTTTCTATTTTTAGTAGAGATGGAGTCTCACTCTTGCTCAGGCTGATCTCCAATTCCTGAGTTGAAGCAATCCACCCACCTAGGCCTCCCAGAGTGCTAGGATTACAGGCATGAGCCATTGTGTCCAACCACATTTGTTTTTTAACTTTTTAGGGGATGATGGATTTATTGAAATGCAGCCTAAACCTACAAACATTTGCATCTATTTTCAAGAGATTCTTAGAACCTGTGGAGCCCTACTCAGTAGGCCCAAGCTAAGTGCCTTGCCCAGAGGATCTAACCTCAAAGAATAGCCATATGTTATGCATATTCTACAAGGTCTCTGAACCTGGAACAGACCTTAGAGGTCATCTGTCCAAACCTATTCCCCAGGTGTACCGATGAGGAAGCTGAGGCCCAGAAGGGAGCAGAAGCCTTGGCCCATCCCTAGCTCCCCGTCTACAGCGCTCTGAGCTGTGCTTCCCCTGTGCACCCCTTGGTTGCCTTTCAATAAACACCTGCCTCTGTGACCTGGTGAGTTTCACTTTACCCATGACAGGTATGACAAAAGTCAGTTCCACATTGTGCCCTGATGAAAGTCTCATTACAAAGCATTCTCTTGTGGGCTGAAATGTATTTTTTAGTTCTGTGGGAGGATTTCAGAACAAGATTAATTGCCCCTGATTGCATCTCTTCCAAAGATGCTTCTGTGCTGCAGTAGTTTTATTCTTATGGTTTAAGTTCCCTGTGAGGGAAGGGGTGGATGGCATCCATAATATCTTCCAATGCCCCTTCCATTCTGGCTTACCCAACACTTACCGAGCACATTATTGACATATACTTATGAACTTGGGTAAAATATGAATTATGTATGACATATATTTTTGCATCTTTTTGATACCAATAGGAAGACTGTACTAGTGAAAAGTTTAAATACTTTAGAAGGAAATATAACTTAAATATTATTTTAACTAAATATTAAATAACTTAAATGTAACCTTACTATGACAGGCCATCCTCTCTGGGCCAGGTGCTGACTGCAACTCACTGCTCACACTCACTCATCGAACTCACCTCCCAGAGAACCCCCGGCCTCACAATTTTAAGTGTGTTGTGCACTCAGTCTCCACAGCATCTCATCTGGAAGCGACAATGCTGACATTTTGTACTCAATGAAGTTAATTCACCCTTGTTTTCTTCCTGGTAAGAATTTAATCCCAGGTCTCCCAAGAGCCTGTGCTCTTGGTGCCTGGGAGCTACTGTGAACACAGTCCCTGACATCAAATAGCTGCAGAACATTAAGGACTAGATTTCAAGATTTCACATGATAAAATAAAATACATTTCTAAAATAGGTTTTAAATGTCCATTTAGTTATTGAATATAACAAGAAACTTATCTTCTGAAGACAATATTTTTATGCCATATTACTAAATGTACTTTCTATTCATACGATTAAATCCAGTTTTCAGGCAATTTTAGTGTAATGCACAAGTGGATAACTCCATGAAAATTTATCTAGTGCAATATTGGTACATAGAAAATTTCCTCATTGTCTTATTTAGTAAGGGGAGGAAATAGTTTAAGCAAAAGACTTGGGATGAGTCAACTTTTGGGTTTAATTTTATGGTCGGCCTGAGGCTTAAAGTCTCTGAACCTGTTTTCTCACCTGAAGAATGGCTCTGATAATGCCTGTCTTGTAAATTTGTTTGAGGATAAATGAGACCAAGTCTGTAAATCCACCAGCACAATCCCTCAATCAGTGGTAGTTGTTATATTTAGCTGAAGAGAGGTAATGGAAAGCCAAGATTGCCTCTATTTTAAGCATTACTTATTACAAGTGAACATTAAAACTACAGTACATACCTTGTTTTTATCAAGATGAAAGCAGTTTCCACATGCAAAATCATCCAATTTGAGATGCTTTGGTGGCTGGTTTCTCCCAAGCTACTTTATAAGCTCCATCGGGTCATTAACGATTAATTTTCATGTATGCCACACCCCTCCAGTTCAGGAAGGCTGACCTAAAAGCTCAGCTCTGTACCAAACACAAAGATGGAATGTTGTGTCCATCCTCCTCCCCTGATTTCCTTCACAGCTGTGCCCTGAAGAAGAAACAAGGAGATATTGTTTTGTGTGTGAGAGAGAGAAAGAGAGACAAAGTCCATTTTCATTCAAAACATCTTTTTTGCTATGTGGATTTTCTAATTTAATTTTTTAGTTAGAATGTACTTTTTAGTTCCAACGAGATGTGTTGCAATATGTTTTCTAACATCTGGTATTTATTTTTCATTTTTGTGTAAATGAAAAATCAACAAGCCCATTTCCTGGAATGGGGAGGGGCACTCTGCCCCATGTGTTTCTGGCCTAGCATGTGGCTCAGGGATCAGAGTTGGCTTTCTCCATGATCCTGGGTAGGGCCTCCCTTCTCTGAACCTCAGTATCCCCATTAGGAAGTAGAATGCCATTTCTATTTCCACCGGAGCTGGGTGTGTGAGGGAAATAACCAGTTCTGTAACAGTGGGGGCTGAAAGGTGAGAATGCCAGAGGTGTTTTCTGCAGCCCCCCTCTGTTTCCTGGGACCCTCCCAGCTACACCTTCTAGGCCACCTGTTGCTGCTTGGTGGTGGGAGAATGGAGTGCAGATTAAAACCCATGGGTACTTCTTCTGGTCCAGCCTCCTCTCTGCTTGTGGAATGAACAACTTAGATTCTTGTGAATGGGATTTTATACCTTTTGATAGGCAGGAGGCATTTTTATTTTATTTTAGCAGCATTTAAGTAAGGCGGTACCTTTGTAATAGACTTAGATCCCTAAATGAAATTTATTACCAAATATGTAAGCAATAGAGAGAAATTTATGGCACTGGGCCTTATAAACATTAAAACAACAACAGTAAATCCTTAATATACCAAATGTTGAGAGCTCTGTCTTTGGAATGTTCTTTACCTTGTCAGAAAAATAAAGAATTCACATTCCTGCTCAGGGCTGCAGGAATGCCCTCCCCTCGGAACTGTACATGGCTCCCACCCATTCCAGATCCCTGCTCGAATAGCACTTTTCCTTAAGAGGCTTTCCTGCTATTTCAAAAACAGCACTCTTCTCTTGTCACTGTTACCTTCCCTGCTTCTTTAGCTCCTCATTATTATATATATTATACACCTGAAATTGTATCCTTTTAAACTATATTTTCTTGCCTGGTGTGTTTTTCTCACCAGGACATAAGCTTCATGGGTATAAGAATCTGTCTCATTGACTCACTGTTGTACCCAGTGGCTATAGCACATAATAAATGCTCAGTAAATGCTTTGTAGGTGTGTAGTCAGTGGCTAAGGTGCCAGCCACATACACTGGAGCTGGCGGTTCGAATCCAGCCTGGGCCTGCCAAACAATGATAACTACAACAAAAAAATAGCTGGGTGTTGTGGCAGGTGCCTATAAGTCCCAACTCTGGGGCTTAAGAGATTCTCTTTTCTTAAGAGAATCTCTTAAGCTCCAGAGTTTTAGGTTGCTGTAAGCTGTGACACCATGGCTCTCTACCCAGGGTGACAAAGTGAGACTCTATCACAAAAAAAAAAAAAAATTCTGTGATCTTTCTAGGTCTCAGTTTATGTTTTCCTGTAAATCTCAGCAAATGATCTAATTTAGGGAAATCCTCTCTTCATATGTTTCTGAAGCGTAGAGCCAATCACAAGTTCTTAAGCATCACAAAACAAATCAGACCTGTGTTCCAAACAAGTCTTTATTTTTAAAATTCCAATATAATGCACGATTTTCCTAAACAAAATAGTATTAAAAATTTCAGACTCATAATCCCATAAATTAGTATCAAAAACTGGGGACTCATAATTCCACATCTCAGAAATAACCATTGCTATCTTTGTATTTATTCTTCTAGATATTTAGGGAAATATATATCCTATATGTTTCATATTTTAACTAAATATAAATTTATCCTATATATTTCATATACTATAAATTAGTATATAGAACCTAACATACTAATAATAACAATATCCAGTGTTCCGAAACTTGCTTTTTTCATCTAACAATGTATCTGTCTATATCAATACACATAGTCTACCTCATTCTTGCTGCAAAACCTGGCTTTTATCTGACAGCACATTTCTTTCTTTCTTTTTAGAGACAGAGTCTCACTTTGTCGCCCTCGGTAGAGTGCCATGGTGTCACAGATCACAGCAACCTCCAGTTCTTGGGCTTAGGTGATTCTCTTGCCTCAGCTTCCCAAGTAGCTGGGACTACAGGTTGCGGTCATTTTTTTTGTTGCAGTTTGGCCAGGGTTGGGTTTGAACCCGCTATCCTCGGTATATGGGGCCGGCGCCCTACTCACTGAGCCACAGGCGCCACCTCCTGACAGCACATTTCTTAAGGAGGCTGTCTGTGATTTTATAGGAAAGCCTTTCTTTGGTTGGGTGATCTTTCCCCATATAAGTGACTGCCTCAGAGGTTCCACTATTAAGATCTGCAGGGAAGATGAAACTATTTTGATGGACTCTTTGTGGCAAGAAATAGAGAACTACATCATCTCTTTAAAAAAAGTGTTCGTGATGAAAAATTATTTCTTACTAAGTGGTTCTTTTAATTACCAGAATCATCCTATACGCTTTTCTAAAGTGATTTTTTTTTCTTTTGTTAGTTAAAATAAAGGGGGAACACAACTTTCATATGAAAACCCAGACTGAGAGATTTCAGTAATGCATATGTACTCTTTATGGCTCAGCTCAAATGTCCCACTCTCGGGGTTGTCTTCCTGATTCTTCGCCACCCCATGCAGCGTTCTTCACATTCTGGTTTGTGTTTTCACAGCGCACATGTTATTCTGTTCTCAGCTCATCACACTCTGTTAATGCCGCCATCTCCTTCTGGAGACTGTTAGATCCTGTAGAGTAGGTTTGTCCTTTTATCCCTGGCATCTGGGATAATGCCTGACACATAACAAGTGTTTACTAAATGTTATTGCGAGGATGATTGAATGCGTAACAGAATGATTGATTCTCAGTCCTTGCAGGGATCATTGTATACTTCATGACTCATTCAGATTCTCTCTTCATCTCCTTCCCGCCCCCTTGTGCCCATTTCAATTATCACTAGGAGCTGGAACCAATTGAGGGTTGAATGCTGCCAACCATCTGGAGAACAGGAAGAAAGCAATCAAACTGGTGAAAACGGCAAGTTGATATGGCATTCGGGAAAGATCGTGAACTGGACAGCAGGAGGCCTGGCATCTGGTCCTAGCTCTGTTACTCATTTATCCATTCATTCACCCCGTTACAGCACATAGCAACACGGCATACACACATTAGTATATGTATACGTTGGGTGCTGTTCTAAGTCCTGCAGCTGTCTTGGTGAAGAAGAAAAACCTTGTCTCAGCTCTTGTAGCATTTAACCTTCTAGAGGAAAGTCACAGAGCGGGGGAAGAAACTGATTCAAGAAGGAGAGAACGATCAACCTTTGCTGAAAGGTAGAGGAAGATATGAACAAGCACGTGACCACTGGACGTAGCTGCAACATGGAGGGCATTGGTGGCTTTGACAGCAGCAGGCTCTGCAGAGTACTGGGGATAGAAGCCCGAGTTGAGTTAGCTGGCGAGGGGAAGAGGAGGCAGCAGCACTCTTTAAATTTGAAGGAAAACAGAAATTAGCAGCTGAGGGGAGATGTGAGGTAAGGGACCTGGTCTTAGCACACACAGAGAAGGACAATTGGTAAAGGAGAAATACTGACTGTGCAGGAGAGGACAGTACAGACAGCAAGAGCAAGCCTGTGGTGGGATCCAGAGCACAGGTGCAGGTGTGGGCTGTTCAGAGGAGCAAAGGTTCTCTCTCTGTAGAAGCCAGAAGGCAGAGTGCAGGCACCCAGATGCGGGGAGCCTGGATTTGATGGTAAAATGAGGCAGGATTTTCTCTTTGTGTGACTGTGATTAAGTCACTTTCCTTGCTGAGGTGTGTGGAACAGGTTTGCTGTGATCACAGTGAAAGGGCTTCTGTGAACACGTCAACTCAGCTGATGGTACCCATCTTAACCTCAGTTTTATGTGATAAGAGATAAAGTGGGGAAGGTGCAGGGTTCAAGCCAGAACTGACAAGAATAATGGCTCCTGACCATAGAGCACTGCACGTCAGGTCTTCTGCCGGTGCTCTCTGTACCTAGCTCTATTGTCACCATGCCCTGAAAGGCAGGTATTGCTACTATTCCCATTAGAAAGACGATGACTTTTGCGAGCTTGATGGTAAAAAACCAAAACAAACAACAACAACAAAACCCAAACCCATGGAGGAGGGCAGGTGGTCCCACTTCTTTTCTGAAGTGATGAAATGAGAGTTTAAACCCTGATTCAAACCCAAACTTTTAACCATTATGTTCTCCTGCCCAGCAGGGAGAGAAAGGGGCTGGGCTGGAGATGGGCCAGGAGTTAATATCCTCAGGTTAAATATTTGCCAACCTTCTCAGCAGAGCATGGAGGACACCACCGCTCACTACCTCCTAGGAAGGAGGCCTTCTGTGTCTTCATAAGAACTGACCCGGCTCAGGGTCTGAGTTTCTGCAGCAGGCTTAGGAAGTGGCGTTCCATACTGCTTGACAAAGGCTGCCTGAAAGCAGACGAATGGAGCCTATCCATTCAGTCCATCATCCAACACTGTCACTCATCAAATTCTTGGAGTTGGGACATCTGCAACCAGTTACCAGTGCACTGGCCAAATCTCCAGTCAAGTTACTGCAACCTTAAGCTTTTCCAGATGTTTACTGGGAAATAAGCTTTGTCCAGTTTTGCAATCCTGTATAAAGCAAGGTCAGTTCTTATGAAGACACAGAAGGCCAACAGGGCTACCTCCACACCCTCCCACTTGGACAAAATTCAGGTGTTTTCAATGTAGAAGCAGAAAGATTTGTTCCATTTTTCTTAATTTTCTAGACTAATCAATCAGTGGAAAAAGCAAAGGTCTGGGAGCAGGGAAGCTGAGTTCTTGTTCTGGCTCTTTCACTTCTTAGCTGAGACCTTGACCAAGCTAGAG